CTGCCTGCCTAAGAGCGGAGGCAGAGCTTTCGGCATCCCATGAGAGGGAAGCTAAGCTTGAGGCTGAGCTTTTGGCGACCCGTGAGAAGGACGTTCTCAGAGAGGCTGAGCTTGTGGAGACTCGCGAGAGGGCTACGCTTAGAGAGGCTAAGCTTGTGGAGACCCACAAGAGGGCCGCACTCAGAGAGGCTGCCTATTTGAGAGTGAAGGCAAAGGTGAAGGCAGCTCACGAGAGAGCTTTTTGGGCTGAGGAGAGGGCTGTCATAGTTGAGAGTGATTTAGAGAATGGTCTTGCAGATACCTTTATTGATGGCTATAAAGAGCTTCGAGAAAAGATTTCTACTGCTTTTCTTGATATTGATGTTTCAGGCTTCGTGCCATCTGAGACACCTGATGATAGTGATGGAGGATCTAACGATACTAACGGTGATGAGGAGGAGGAGGAAGAGAACGACCATAAGAGTAGTTAGAGTGTTGGGTACTTTTGTTTTTTAGAAAGGCATTTTGTAGCCTTACTTTTGTCAAAGTGGCTTTTTATCGTTGATGCTCCTTTAAAATTGAATATAAAAATGCAAAGATCTTTTGAAGTAAATCTAGAAAGTTTTATTCATTCACTGCTTATGCCAAGCAATATCGGGTAATAGCCCCAAAAAGAGTACAAAAAATAAAATCAAGTTCCTCAACTTTACTACTTCTACTCTCTTAAGGTGTCATTGGTAGTACCTCTTTAAATGCTCAACGTTCCATGGATGGGGTAAGATCCCCTCAAAATTCTGGATTTTGTAGGTACCTGGTCTCACCACTTTTGTTATGAGGTAGGCGCTTGTACTCCGCATTGCAGATCACAACCATTTCCCTTGCCTCCTTTACTAAGTTGAGATTGATACAGAATCCTTCCTCGTTGGTAATGGGGTCGTGGTGCTGGACCCTTAGAAAATGTACCCCGATCTCCACAGGTATGATTGCTTCAGTTCCAAAGGCGAGGAAGAAGGGAATTTCTCCAGTTGGAATTCTTGGCGTGGTTCGATATGCCCATAATACACCTAGGAGTTCATCAACTCAAAGACCCTTCACTCTTTCGAGCTTTGTCTTTAGGTTGTGTAACACCGTTCCCACCATGATTTCTGCTTGTCCGTTTGCCTGCGAGTGCGCTGGGATGGAATAAAGCTGTTTTATCTGGAGGTCGGAGTAGAAGAGTTCAAGAGCTTGTTGTCGAATTGCTTGGTATTGTCACTGACAATGGCGTGGGGTATCCCGAAGCGGCAGACCAAATTTTTTCAGATAAAGTCTTTAACCTTCGTGTCTGTTATCTTTGCCGATGGTTAGACCTCTGCCCACTTTGTGAAGTAGTCAACAACTACCACTACAAACTTGCATTGTCCTCTGCTCAGAGGTAGTGGGCCTAGGATGTTGATGCCCCATTTTGAAAAGGGCCACAGACTCGTGATGACTGTCAGTTCCTTGGCTGGCTGCCTGGACACAGTGGCTAAAAATTGACACTTGTCACACTTCCTGGCGAACTCCTCGGCATCCCTCACCATGCCAGGCCAAAAGTAGCCCTGTCTGAGTGCCTTGTGCGCGAGGGAGCGTCCTCCAGAGTGATTCCCACAAACCCTTCATGGATCTCCCGCAGGGCATAGTTAACTTTTTCGGGCGAAAGGCACCGCAGTAATGACAAGGAATAGCCTTTCTTGTACAAGATGTTTTGTAAGATAGTAAACTTGGAGGCTCTCACCCTGAGTTTCCTGCTTCTAGGGGTCATCTGACAACACGTCCTCCTGGAGGTACGACCTTATCAAGGTCATCCAGTTTGATTCGGTAGAAGCGCAGTTAACATTTGTGGCTTCCACGTCTAGCCTGCTTGGTTTGAACTAGTAACCAATGAATGCTGGTCTTGGTAGGGCTTCCAAGAATGAGGCGAGCCTGGTGAGATACTACCAATGATACCTTAAGAGAGTAGAAGTAGTAAAGTTGGGGAACTTGATTTTATTTTTTGAACTCTTTTTGGGACTATTACCCGATATTGCTTAACATAAGCAGTGAATGAATAGAACTTTCTAGATTTACTCCAACAGATCTTTGCATTTTTGTATTCAATTTCAAATGAGCATCAACAACAAAAAGCCACTTTTAAAAAAGTAAGGCTACAAAATGCCTTTCTAAAAAAAAAAATCAAAGTCCCTAACACTCTAATTACTCTCATGGTCGTCGTCGTCCTCCTCCTCCTCCTCATCACCACCCTCAGCATCGTCAAATCCTCCATCACCTTCATCGGGCGCCTCAAATGGTACAAAGCTTGAAACATCAATATCAAGAAAAGCAATAAAAATCTTTTCTCAGAGCTCCTCATAACCATCAATAACGGTATCTGTAAGGCCACTCTTAGCTATAACAGCTATTTCTTCAACCCGAGAAGCTCTCTCGTGAGCTACCTTCACCTCTGCCTTCTCTCTCAAGCAGACAGACTCTCTAAGCGCGGCCCTCTCGCGGGTCTCCACTAGCTCAGCCTCTTTGAGCACAGCCCTCTTGTGGGTCTCCACAAGCTCAGTTTCACTAAGAACAGCCCTCTCACGGGTCTCCAAAAGCCCAGCCTCTCTGAGCGCATCCTTTTCACGGGTCTCCAAAAGTTCAGCCTCAAGCTTAACTCTCATGGGAAGCCGAAAGCTCTACCTCTGCTCTTAGGTAGGCATCGTCCCTGAGCGCGGCCCTTTCATGGGTCGCCACAGGCTCAGTCTGAGAAGCCCTACCAGCAGCTTCAAGCTCGGCAATCCTTCCCTGAGCAGCAAAAAGCTCCTTCTTTACAGCCTCATGACTAAGCTTCAGTTGGCCATAAAAATGGGCCCTTGAAAGCAAGCATATAGATCAGTTAAAGCCTGAAAAAGACAAAAGACAAAGGAATGACTGCGCATAGGGAAGGACTGGAGAAAGGGAAACAGCAAACCCTTCCCTGAGCCAAGCCTTTCAGAAATGTGTTGATAATTCCCTCTATGCCCAGAGCATTAATCTCATTAACGTTGGGCAGAAACACGAATCACTTAAGTCGTTCCTTGATGACTCGCAGGTTACCCAATATGGGGCCAAATTGAATCGGTGCCCCTGTAGAAGTTCCCACAAGAAGAGTTAACAACGGGGGGCAGAAGGTGTGGTCGACTGGGGGGTCTCTGGAATAGGGCTCACAACCGAAGGAGTCACCGACCGAAGAGGCACCACTGGAAGGGTCCCTCGAGGGGAGCCCACCCGAGACACCACTAGAGGAGTCACTTGAGGGGAGTTCCCCTCAGGCGTCACCACTAGGGAGGTCACTTAGGAGGCATCGCTCATTCTCGCCACCTTAGGAGGATGAGTGTTCCTATTAGAGAGGCAGAACCCAACCACCGTTCTATCCACTGCAAAAGAAATAAAGTGTTATCTAGATGAAAAACACCAAGTAAAGGGGAAAAATACAAGAGAATCAACATACCCTTTCTCTTCAAAGAGAAACCGCCGGAACTCGGAGAGGGTCCACCAACCCTAGCACCTACTGAAGGGGAACCACTGACTTCACCATCTTTGAGCATGAGAGCTTCAAAGTCCTTTACAGGATGAGCCCTCACAGTCTACAACTTCCACTCCTGATCCTTCGAAAGCACAGGAAAACCTGCAAGGAATGTGATGAGCACACAGCCTACAAGTTATGTGATGAGAGAAGGTAAGTATATAAGGCATACCAACTTTCTTAGGAGCACCCTATCCTGTTGGTACCAAAACCCTATCAGCGTCCAAAGCCCATTCTTCGCCGACGAATATGAAACGAGACTTCCAACTATGACAGTTGGAGGACAATTTGATAATCAACTTGCCCCCTCTCGTAATAAAATAGTACCAGCCTCGGTTAGGAGCAGGAGTCTGACTCAGATTATAAGTTGCATAAAGCTCGTCAGGAGAGGCATCCCTATGGTGCACCTTCCTCCACAATGCTAGAAAACCCAACATAACTCTCCAACCATTAGGGGCCAACTGTCCTAGTGCCNGTACCAGCCTCGGTTAGGAGCAGGAGTCTGACTCAGATTATAAGTTGCATAAAGCTCGTCAGGAGAGGCATCCCTATGGTGCACCTTCCTCCACAATGCTAGAAAACCCAGCATAACTCTCCAACCATTAGGGGCCAACTGTCCTGGTGCTAATGAAAAATAATGCAAAATACGACAAATGGAGGAAAGCATCGAGAACTTAAGCCTAGTTATAAGCATCTCCTCATAGATGACAATGTCACCAGAGAAGTCATCACAAGCAGGCTCACCCATCGTAGCTCGACGGCACAGTACCGTTAGAGGAATATTATAAGTAGAAACAACTCGTAGAATATCACCATCAATATTAATTATGCTAGAAATAGTACTTACTTTGGATCCATTGTCGTCGAGAGCTACCTTTCCTCGGTGCTTTTTGTTGCGAGGGCGTGAAGAGTTGCCTGAGCCACACTACGAGGGAGGCCGTGAGGAATTTGAGGAGTTCCACCTGAAGGAGCCAGATCATCCACCACATTGCCAGAATTGTCACCACAAAAGTACCCATGGCTAATCTCGTCTTGCCCAACAGCGGAGGCACCTCACAAGCAGAGTCCAGCACAATAGGCGCCTCACCGCCAGAACCCGACACCTGGGACGTCTCGCCCAGTTCTATAAGCGCTTCACAGTTGCTGCCCGCTGCCTAACCCAGCGCCATAGGCACTTTAGAGATGTTGTCCATCATCTGAGGCAGCCTGGTGAACGCCATAGGCGTCCATTTGAGCTGCTCGCCCATCTCCACGCCAGACCGCCCCTTACGCAAGCAGGTTGCTCGCCTAGACTGCCTAAATCGACGCCCAAGTCATCTTCTTGCTCACCCAGACTACCTGGATCAACGCCCATGTCATCCTTCGTGTCACACGCGCCCAATGCCTCCTCTGCGCGAACAACGGGCAACCCCTGGGCCTTCTTCGTGCAGACAGCCAGCTCGCCCAACTGGGTTGCTCGCCTCGCCTAGACTGTCGCCCTTCCCGCCTGGGCCTCCTCCCTCATGTCGCCCACATGCGCGCTCAGAGCCTCAGCTACGCGCCCAACACCTACCTTCTCCCTTGCATCGCCTTCACGGATAGTAGGCGCCCATGGCACCTCCTCCCTTGCCTTGCTTGCACGGACAGCAGGCACCCGTGGTGCCTCCACTTCGGCACGTTCTGCCTCCCTCTCCTCTTCAAGAACAACATTAATTTCTTCGAGCTCTCCATCGAGATTCACAAACTCTTTTCCCTCAATCAACATTGCTCTGGATGTTGGGTTCAAGAATCTCACCTTTTTGTTCTTGAAGGATTTCAAGAAGAGCTCTCCTTCCCTCTCAAGATTGTATGGAATGGGTAAAATGAAGGAGTTTTCTATTGATAGCCTAGGATTTTTTGAAATCCTATTAAGGGAAGGAAAAAACAAAAAGNCTCTTCAAGAACAACATTAATTTCTTCGAGCTCTCCATCGAGATTCACAAACTCTTTCCCTCAATCAACATTGCTCTGGATGTTGGGTTCAAGAATCTCACTTTTTTGTTCTTGAAGGATTTCAAGAAGAGCTCTCCTTCCCTCTCAAGATTGTATGGAATGGGTAAAATGAAGAAGGAGTTTTCTATTGATAGCCTAGGATTTTTTGAAATCCTATTAAGGGAAGGAAAAAACAAAAAGCCCCAATTTATAACCTAAGGCTCTTCAAGAATCCAAAAGGGAAAGTGAAAAAGGGAGTTTATATAGCTAATGGTGTCCCACTGGCAAAAGGAGTCTACAGAAAGGGAAGGAGTCGCCAATCAAAAGGAGTCTTCATGAAATTCGAGTTCAAGAAGGCTTGATTGACCGTAACTTTTGCTCCCTAGCTCCAAACAGANTATTAAGGGAAGGAAAAAACAAAAAACCCCAATTTATAACCTAAGGCTCTTCAAGAATCCAAAAGGGAAAGTGAAAAAGGGAGTTTATATAGCTAATGGTGTCCCACTGGCAAAAGGAGTCTACAGAAAGGGAAGGAGTCGCCAATCAAAAGGAGTCTTCATAAAATTCGAGTTCAAGAAGGCTTGATTGACCGTAACTTTTGCTCCCTAGCTCCAAACAGACTCACCGCCTTCGACCGTGACAGACGCTGTTAAAAGTTCAAAAAAGGCCCAAAAACATATGTTTTGGCCTCCCGAAGTATTTTCAGTTGTGCGTCTAGCCAAAAATTCAAATTCAATCGACTGCCCTCGTCTCCAAGTTCCATTGGACACAGGGCAAATGATGGGTCAAGCCCAAGGACCCAACTCATGTTATAAGCCCAGTCTAAATTAATAGTCCAACTCCAAGAGATCTAGCAAGTCCAGCCCAAAGTANAATTCAATCGACTGCCCTCGTCTCCAAGTTCCATTGGACACAGGGCAAATGATGGGTTAAGCCCAAGGACCCAACTCATGTTATAAGCCCAGTCTAAATTAATAGTCCAACTCCAAGAGATCTAGCAAGTCCAGCCCAAAGTAATCCATGCCCGGTCAAGCTTATCAAATTCGAGGAGCTACATCACCAAAGGAACATACAGGGTCATCCAAGAGCCTCTTCCTCGCCGTCTTGAAAGGAGTCAATTCTCACCTCATCCTTTGACCGAATCTCCTGGAAAGCATCATAACTGCCTCACCCGTTGAGAAGAGGTCGTCAGCTTCACCAGATTAGCTATTTAGTTACTATTAACTTGCCCCAATATGTTATGAAGTAACTATAAATTGTAAATCCTGCTAACACTTAGGGGCATCACATCCAGTCAAGCATAACTCTCTCATCTCTCTCAGCTTGTAACTCTTTACTCTCCCTGTCACTTGAAGTAATAAAATTTTCCAACGACCCTAGCCTTTCAAAATAAACGTAGGTCACGTTGACCAAACCACTATAACCATTGTCTTGCTTTTGTCTCTATCTCTCACTTATTAACTACGGCATTTACTGNCTTGAAAGGAGTCAATTCTCACCTCATCCTTTGACCGAATCTCCTGGAAAGCATCATAACTGCCTCACCCGTTGAGAAGAGGTCGTCAGCTTCACCAGATTAGCTATTTAGTTACTATTAACTTGCCCCAATATGTTATGAAGTAACTATAAATTGTAAATCCTGCTAACACTTAGGGGCATCACATCCAGTCAAGCATAACTCTCTCATCTCTCTCAGCTTGTAACTCTTTACTCTCCCTGTCACTTGAAGTAATAAAATTTTCCGACGACCCTAGCCTTTCAAAATAAACGTAGGTCACGTTGACCAAACCACTATAACCCTTGTCTTGCTTTTGTCTCTATCTCTCACTTATTAACTACTGCCTGCTCACCTGACAGGCGGTGTACAAACCCAATTTGTGCATCGTCAATAAGCATAACAGTAATTTCCCACATCAACATAAAACATATATTACTTGAAATATAACATATAAACATTTGTATCCATATATCAAACAAAAACAATCGGGAAGATTAACTGGGATTAAAAAGTATTTAATAGTACCTCTTTTGCATCAGTGACCTTGAGAACCAATTTACCGTCGCAATGTCTGTATTTCATGCCATATCGTGTCTGCATCCTAATTACAAAAACAATTAGTACGTTGATATAAGGAGAATTTACAGTCAAAAATCAAGAAAAAACGACCAAAAAAAAATTACTCTCTCGGGATTGGCACGAAACAATTTGACGGATTTTTCCACGAAATTGTCCCACGATGTGATATAAACCATTGTGGCCAATCTATGAAGCTATAAATAGGAATCGGAGACAAAAACGACCAAGGAGGAACACGAGAAACTGAGAATTCCCAGAGGCCGTCGTCGATCTCTGGGACTGGGAGAAGCAGATTTGGGGGTTCAGGGATGATGGGCTTAATAGGTTTTCAAATCCAATTCGACATTAGACCCAAAAAAAAAAAAAAATCCGGTTCGGCTGAGGGCACAGTTGTCAGTTTCTGGGCGTGGGCCCCACCATGTGCCACGTCTGCAAAACAAATAGGTGCGGACCAGTGTGGTGTACCACTCTTGACCAATTATGACCTGATGCACCTGACATAACGGCTACAATACTACATCATTATCCGTTTTTAATGTCATCCATTAATAATAAATAAATTAAATGAATTTCGTTAATCCTACAAAAGTAAGTGATAGTTATAAAGTTTAGTAAAATTCACTAATTTAATATATTTATATATAATTAATTAGTAACACCAATAACGACATAATTAGTGCTATATATTTCAAATTTGTATCCCAAATTAAAGAGGATCGTTAGATCAATGAGTCCCATCAATTTTTTAAATGGACCCACTGATCCAATGGTCCTNTTATATATAATTAATTAGTAACACCAATAACGACATAATTAGTGCTATATATTTCAAATTTGTATCCCAAATTAAAGAGGATCATTAGATCAACGGGTCCCATCAATTTTTTAAATGGACCCACTGATCCAATGGTCCTCCTTGATTTGAGATGTAAATTTGAATTACAAATTTAAAATACATATCATTACTCTAACGACATCTCTTACTTGACCATATTTCCCTTTGTTTTGTTTTTCTTATTTTCCTTTTTCTTTTTTTTACTTTTTTAGAGCTTTGTTAGTCCGCTTAAATTTTAAGACTACATTTTGTGATTTAAATAAGAGTAATATTATACTGACTAAAGAACAAACGGGTCATTTTTTCGNATATTTCCCTTTGTTTTGTTTTTCTTATTTTCCTTTTTCTTTTTTTTACTTTTTTAGAGCTTTGATAGTCCGCTTAAATTTTAAGACTACATTTTGTGATTTAAATAAGAGTAATATTATACTGACCAAAGAACAAACGGGTCATTTTTTCANAGTCCGCTTAAATTTTAAGACTACATTTTGTGATTTAAATAAGAGTAATATTATACTGACTAAAGAACAAACGGGTCATTTTTTCGAATACAATAGCACCCAAAAAAAATTAGAAGATTTTCTCTCTTGTTTTGATAGTACCATAGTCTTATTTGTGTAACATATTACTCTTTGTCCTGAGAAATGAAATTCCAACTCACACTTGGACCCTGAACGTCTCAATTTTGTTTGCATTGCATCTTTAGAGTCTAAAATTCATCCACCTTTTGTTGATGATTTGAATTCCTTATCTAATTATGCAAAACAGTGACACCAAATTCACCTACCTCTTGTTGATGATTTGAATGTCTTATCTAATTATGACAGTCCTTCCCATGTCGAGTTTGAATTACATTAACAATCTATACACGTGAGATAAAATTGTGCAAATCTGATAATGACAGAAAATTCTTGCAAAGAAAGCAAAAAACTATTAATATCCTTCAAAGTTTAGGCATCATTCAATTACTGGTGGATGGTACAAATGCATACATTTCCAATAGAAGCAGGAGACATTAAACGTCGAAAAGAGTTCAAGGACAGATTAAAATGACAGCAAGACTATGCAAGTAAACCACTATCGAGGTCCAAAAAGAAGAAAGAAAAAAATAACTACAATCGGTTGCTCTAATAATACAGCAGTACAAGAAAATTGGAAGAGGTGGCGAAAAAGAAAAGGTGGGCATTTTCAAAATTCAAGTGTGATAAATCCTGGTAATGTACAACAGTACAATAAACTATCAAATTATGCTCATGCACTTGAGAGCTTGGCATCTCAACAATCACCAAAAGGCCAACCAATTACCAATCACAGCAAGCAGAGCAACTCTATCGAGAAGCATGCTAGATCAGGATGCATAACCGATACCTTTTGAGATCTGAAGAATGTATCGACTAATGAAGGTACGTCAGCAAAAAAGAATGAAGTATGTTCAAGGGGCTGGAACCTTGCGAGCATAGGTCAATACCATCACGAAATCCTTCGCTGATGAGCCAATTGCTGCTGGTACCCTCTGTGAAGTCGATGCAGTTTGTAGCCACAAATCAACTAGATCATTCAGTTCCAGTGTTGGGACCACTGACTGACCCATACATCTAATTTCAATCTGCATGAAAATCAACAAAACTCAGGGAAAAGCAGAGGAAAAATGAGTTTTCTTTCCTTTTTTTTTTTGTTGAGGGGCGGGCCTGGGAAGGAGAGAGAAATAAAATAAAAGATAGAAGGAAATGAAGGAAGAAAAAATAAAGGCAGAAGTTAGATAACTGCTGTTTGATGGTCACCAAGAAAAGTAAAATCAACAAGGATTATTACAAAAGCTAGATATGAAAGAACGCATTACAGTCAGTTGTTCAAACTTAACATTTGTCTAAACTTCATGTGATCTTGGTAGATTAACAATGACGGCCACAGATAGTTAAATAAACAAGGATGAATCCACTCACCTCATCTGGATTTGTGAGATCTAGTTTCCTCATCAGGTACTTTTGGATGAAAGAAACAGGCATACTCCCATCCCTGTAACAAAGTGAAACAAATATGAATAAAGGCCTAGCCTGGATTCCAAAGGATTATCCCTTATAATGGAAAATAAAAAAATTTGCTCATTGCAAGGACTCTTAGGCTCTGACTGATAGAATTTACTGCACTAATTTGACATCTCCTAATACTCATTTTAAGAACAGAGTAGTCCAACTTTTGTCCTCATTTCACATTCGCCAGAGCCATGACATAACAATATACTCCAACTTGCCAGAGAGTAATAACTAAGCAACTTTGAAACATGGCAAAGTCCAGACTGCAGATTCACTCCCAAGTTAAAATTCGCCACTTAAGCTGGCAATTCTTAAAGTCTTAAAGTCTCTACTTACAACACCTACATTCCTGAGAAAATTTTGAAATTTTCTGTCCAAAATTCAATTCGAACTGGGCATCATCATATGAGGTTGAGCCAGTAAGTTTCCATGCAGGGACGACCAACGAACAACTGTTGGATTGATAAGAAAATAACTTGGTGGATACAGGCTTGGAAAAAAGGGGTTAGATGGCAAACTCCAATTATAGGAATGCTAAAGTTGAATTAGTTTAACTATTTTAGAGGAGCAAAGGGAGCTTTGCCTTTGGGAGACGAGGCGGCTTCCTCTAAAGAGACTATATCATAGGATACAATCAAACTAAAGCGCTTACGAGCAAGAACAATTATCAATCAAAAGCAAAGAACCTCTTAATGAAACAAATATGATTTAGTCCAGCTCATATTAGTTATTTATTAGCCGTCCCTCATTCTGCGGTTACCATCTAGTATACCCTCACAAGTATTACATCACACAAAACAGGTCAACTGAACTACACATGCACAAGATAAAAAAGAAGAACCGGGGGTTGTCAGTCACTCTCTTTCTTCTTCTTTTCCTCTTGTTCTGCTGGATAGAGAGAGGGAGTGGGTTAGGGAGACAGGTGAGATTTGACCCAAGAGGGAGAGAGATAGACTGGTCAGCATTGACCCACCTTCTTTGGTGGGTCTTCAAAAACTTTTTTTGGTCAGGTTCCACTAGCACCATCCATGTATTTAGTCCAACAAAGAATAAGAAATGGAAATGGTGTACGGTAAAAGACTAAGCTATGTATATGTCAAACGCGTTAGACACATAAACTTCACAATCCTTGAATACATGGTCAATGCACTCCAAAGTAGTTATTATTATTCCAAAGTGATTCTATCACGTTGGGAAAAACAAGAAAACCCTCAGCCGGCACGCATTACGCAAGTAGTGAATACTTGGAATGTGATTTCTTTTCAAATTTAGAGAAAGTGTAAGGTTGTTTTAATGATGATAATGAGGATGACGCAATGATTGCATGTGAAACACTGGTAAAGTAATGAACAGATAAACAAGCTGTAGAAGGTCTACATCTCCAGAAGATCAAGGAAAACTGGATCCAGAGCAAACAGTTTTCGAAACCTAACAGTGAACCAATCATGTTTTCTCAACTTTTTCTCATGGAACCATGCTTGCAGAAATCCAAAAAATTCTTCCTGCTGGATTCAAATCTAAAAGGATCCTCAGGTAGACATCCATGACAAGTTTGCCAATTAAACCACTTCCATGTCCGACTCAGGTCACAAACTGGTGCATAATAAATTCAGTGATAAACTGTCACTATCAAGATTTAATGTTTAAGATCAATCAGGTCTCAAAAGCAGTTCGACTGTATCCATTGAAACTCAAAAGTTGGCACCTAAACTCCAGATATGAAAATTGACCAATTTTTGAAAAATCAGAATATATTTTAGGCAAACTAAACATAGACAAGAAAGACTCGAGCCAAAAAGAAAGAGACAAGAAAGACAAAAAATAACAGACATCAAGGAAGATGCTAATATTATTCAAGAGGACCCAAAGTACTATACACGTCTTGATAGAATTATGAGTAGTTTGATTAAGAAGATACATAAAGTTCNTAACAGACATCAAGGAAGATGCTAATATTATTCAAGAGGACCCAAAGTACTATACACATCTTGATAGAATTATGAGTAGTTTGATTAAGAAGATACATAAAGTTTATGGTTGTGGACTTGTGGGACACATACTGGAGGGAAATGATTGGAAGGAATGACACTTCATTTCTGTGATTTCCATAAATTTACCAATTATGGAGTAGATAAAGCCGAACACAAACACACCAGTAACTGGTGTGTTATCTCATATTGCACAAGAGTGGAATATAATAGTACCATTGTTGATAATTCGAAAGACTTTTTTTTTTTTTAAAAGACTTTTTTTTTTAACAAAAAAACATTAACACTTCGTCTCATTAAATTGGTGGATAATGGTTAACCAACCCTTCTCCAATTCGATGCTACATATTAGAACTATTGATTGGCCAAAGGCAGTCAGACTTGTGACAGACCAGCAGTTATACAAAATACAAACTAATGCCAATAAAGAGATTCATGGACGAAGTCAATTCACTGTTATAAGCTCTTTATGACAAAACGAATGAAATAGAAAATGTAGAAATTAACAAAATCCCAAAATTTTGAAAAGAAAAGATCAATGAATATTANCTAATGCCAATAAAGAGATTCATGGACGAAGTCAATTCACTGTTATAAGCTCTTTATAACAAAACGAATGAAATAGAAAATGTAGAAATTAACAAAATCCCAAAATTTTGAAAAGAAAAGACCAATGAATATTAAAAAAAAAAACTACTTGGCCAATATGAAGCTACTAGGAACTCACTTTATTCTCAAGTAACTTGCAGGTATCTGGGGCAAGGGTGCATTTCCATCCCTGCAACAATGCTGTTAATTATGAGAAAATGGATAGGCAGAAAAATCCCGAAATAAATTAAGTATTCTTTACAGACATAATCTTTCAAATTTTTAAGATTAAGTCAATTCTCACTGGTCTTCGGAAGCCTTTAATGAGAGCCAAATTGGATGCATTCTTCTTTCACGTTCAGCATTGGCACCATCCAGCACAGCTTGGGGCGAAACACTTGATTCCCCAAAATAAGCTGCCTTTTTCCGGCGAATCCTTCGCAACTTTTTAGGCTTCTCTGATTCTGAATGGTTCGGATCATTGCTAGTCTTACCATCTTGAAGTTTAGAGTTTTGTTCACGTCCCTTAACTTTAGTTCTACGGACACGCCCTTCACTGTCAATGGAATGTCGAGGTTCTAATTTAGCAGCAGATACTTGTGAAATGCACTTTGGAGACTTACTCCTATTTGCAACTTCAACCAAATCAGTGAAAGGTTTCCATAGGTCAACTTTCCCGTCCCAGGCTTCAGCACAACTCTTTACTTGTTTATCAGATACAGCATAGCTAGACGGCTCAACAGTAGCAGAATTCTGCACCAGTGAAAAGTAGGAGTGCACATAAGCATATGCACAAGGCTAACAGTATACAGGAGCTTGCAATAGCCAAAATATGTGGTGACCCTTACCTTCCTTGTACTCTGAGCGAATTTGGTAAGAGTCTCAAGTGAGCTAGAGCTCTCTGGACAATCTTCCACTGAATCTGCCTCTTTCTTAACAAGTTTCTGGGTGGAAAAACTGGTACCTTGTAATGCCTTCCTTGCAATAGATTTTGATCTTCTTCTGGTCATGGCAGTATGGGTTGATACTCTAGGGGTGCTGATAACCAATGACGAGAGTGATCTTTCCTTTCTTCTGACTGGTAACGTAACTGAAGTCACAACTTCAGGTGGATCAACCTTTCTTCTTTTGCAAGGGAAAATCTTGGCTCTTACGTCTTGCAATTTGTGGTCTGGCCTGATAAATAAGAACAGCCGATTTGCTGCTCAACAAACATTCATTGTTTTCCAAATGCAAAGTTCATATTGATAAATGCATATCAACAAATCTAATTTCATGGATGAAAATGAGGTAACTGGCATATAAAATAATTGAGCAATGAACCATGTAATCAATTTTGCAAACAGATTCTTTACTCCGATAAGAAGGTATGTTCCAGAGTTCAATGATGGCTATAGGCCAACATACTTGCATGTGATATGCAAGTTCATGCACATATAGAAGCAGTATAGTTCAACCTTAAGCAATCTGTGATTAATATAAAATCAAGCAATCTCAAAAGGCTCAGAGTGCACAATAAGCCTCAAGATCTCATCTATAAACCACTACTAGTGTTGCAAGATCCATCATCCCTGTGAGCTAGTTGTATATCACCTGGGTGTTATGAGTGGTAATCCACAATTATATTAAGCAGTTATAACACACATTGGTATCTCCTTGCGTTCTTGGCAAATATTTTACCATCAAATTCGTATTCCAACTCACAGGTACCATAAAACTGAATGCATTACTACTTCACAATACAAATGATATTATGCAATATAACCATTGTATTGCATTGCCGTTCATCAGGAATACAGCTGCAAGTAGAGTAGAAATAGATCCCCCAGACATGCCTTGTCATGCTCCATCCAATAGGAGACTTATAGAGAGAGAGAGNCAGCTGCAAGTAGAGTAGAAATAGATCCCCCAGACATGCCTTGTCATGCTCCATCCATTAGGAGACTTATAGAGAGAGAGAGAGAGAGAAAGAGAGAGCATGGCAACAAGTTAGAAGAAATATCAGACCTCAACTTCTCCAGTGGTACACAGCCCAAATCAATATTGCACACTGGACAGCATTCCAATTCCTCGTCTAAGAGCTTCCTATGGATGCATTTCCTGCAAACTGGAAAACACAAAACATCACTAATTTCTGATCCACGAAATCAAAAGAGGCCTCAATCAAAATACCACAATCAAGATATACTAGTTCCTAAATAAATATAAAAGAAAATGAAGAACTTACAGCTTTAATAGGACCTAAGTATATCAGTACAAGCTGACAACATGACAGTAGCGTAATGTTTTGTTTGAAAATTGATAACAGAGAGAGAGAGAGAGAGAGAGAGAGTCTTGAACTATAAGCGCTGGAAGGCAATCCAACTCTAAATTACTACAATTTGCGAGCATAAATTGAAACAAATAGAAACCGAGTTTTTCACCTTATAAAGGCCCTGCTATTAATAGCCCTGTTTCAAAGTGAAAAACCATGAAAAGGACGGCATCTGAAGCAAGTGTTTTATTGATAATGCAAATTATCCCAAGTAACTTGGCTCTGACTTTATGAGTGTTTTATTGAAAAATCGAATTATNGTTGCGCATTAGGATTTGGGGGGCGGAAGGGGCGAGGGGGGATCCCCTGCGCACCGTGTTCCAGGTGTCAATGTGTCATGTGTGCGACCTCCGCCGGCGTGTTTTGGGGCCTTAGGTATTGATTCCGTGTGGCATTTTAGCCTAATCTTCGTGCGACTTGGGAAATTATGACCATACAGTAATTATATATTAAAAAAGAAAAAAAAGTAATAAAAACGTGATAAAAATTGTATTATTTTATCTTGGCTCATATTCAGGTAAAAAAACACTTGACTCATATATATGAAGTATAAATAATTAGATCGGTTGACGGATCGAATTTTGAGTAATATGAATTCGAATCAAATTTTTTAAGTCTAATTTGAATCGATTTGATTATTCGATAGATATTAATTATGGTTTTTTTTGAATTAGTTAATAATTTGAAATTCGATTTGATTTCCAATAACTTAATTTAATTAAAAATTAACAAATTGTCAAATTACATCAATTTTTAATTAATTTTTTCCCAAATAATTACTTAAAATCTTTAATATTTATATAAAAATATATACATATTTTAGATCAAAACGGATAGAATATATATATATACCCATTAAAAATATAAGATATTAGAATTTGGTTCAAATTATTGGTAAAAAATATCAATTCATATACAGCTAATCAGATTTGGGTCAAAATCTGAACTATTGATAAGCCTAGCAATAACTCGTACCTGAATATATTATACAATATCAAAAATTAGACATTGATTGTTTAATATTTATATTTTAAATAATAATTTTTATTTTTTTAGTTACACAATTTAAAATTAAAAAAAACAAACAAGAGAAGTAAATAAGAAAGAAAATAGAGATAAGTGTGAATCATGTCTGGTATTGGGAAGTGTGTTGTTTGAGTTATATGACATTGGGAGCCATGCATGGAATATGATATTTGTTAGTGAAAAAATTTTGAATTATTTTATTAAAATAGATGAAAATTAAATTAATTTTAAATTGTTATTGTGCTTTATAAATGAAGAATTCAATTTTATTAACCTTCCCACCGATGCACACTATTCTCATTGAATGTATTTCACCTCGTGCAATCCCCATTACGATCGATAAATTCTTAAAATTATATATAGATAATTTTTTTGAGAATTCTCATATTATTATATTATATAAATAACAAAAATTATTTAAAAAAATCATTCCAAGAAAATCACAAAACTATTAATAACTTATAAAGAATTTGTTTTTAATTTTTTAGTTTAACGGTTAAAGATGTTTGAATTAATTTATACACATCTTGACTAATTTTTTTTTTGATCTAGTAAAATGCATATCATCTACGCTGAAACTAAGAAAATTCGTGAAAAATAAATCCCTAATAGTTTGAGATCAAAAGATTACTGAAATTTGAATTCAGTATATCTGAATTTTCAATTTATACGTATTACCAATTAAATTATTCTTAGATTAACAAATAATTTGTCGTTGCCCTGGAGAACAGCCAAAAGCGGGGCTTGATGTAGTTTTTTGAAGGTTCCTGGGTTTGAGTATGACTCAAATTTTCTATATGTCAACTCTTAAATTAAAGTGTACGACTTATAAATTTTATAAAATTATACTGGCAATACGTTAGTTTTAGTAAAAAATGTATTAGTATATCTCAATCACATGGGGCGTAGGATGCCTTGATTTAAACTGCACTTTTCTTTACCTTTGGTCAATATTCAAGCTAAACTTAAGCATGCTATAATATGTTGATTTAACTCACTATAATTTTTGAATTGACTATAATCTTCATCAAATATTAAAATTTTAGTATTAATCCAATTGTATCAATAAAGCTACATCATTAAGTCAACAAATTATGTCAAATTTGTAATTTCAAATAGCATTAGTCTTTATACATAATTGTAAATGAGCTGAATATATATTGAATACATTTTAATATAATATAATGTAAGGGTGCAACTCGGGTGGGTTGGACTGGTTGAGAGGTCAACTCTAGCCCAACTTTAGATATATAATTGTGAAAATTGGAAGTGAGTCCTCTTAAATATAGTTGTTCGGAGGTAAGTCCTGTAAGAAAACTTATAAGGGGCTAAGTCCATGTTTAAAATTATATGTAATGACTTAAGTCCACTTTTTTTTTATCTCAAAAATATCCTTCCTTAAAACGAAGTTAATCTTTTATCTCTCATATTTATCTACATCCATAAATAGGTTAAAAATTTGACTAACTTAAAATTTTTTTCACTCTCTTATCTATGTATATTCATATATAAGTTAGATATATATAGTAACATTAAAATACAAAAACAAAGTTACTTTGAATTTGAATAGTAAAATTCAAATTCATGTTACTATTTTTTTTATTGTGTTACTGTTCACGTATTATTATTTTTGAGCATGTTACTGTTTTTGTTGACCATGTTACTACTATTATTTTTCTAAATATTAATATTCAATGTTACTATTTTTTTAAAATATTACTATTTTTTGTATTTGAATGGTACTACTTTTTGCGTTTGAATTTGAAAGAAATAATTATTGTTAAATATGTTACAATTTTTGTTAAATATATTACTATTTTTATTGAATATGTTAATATTTTTGTTGAACATGTTACTGTTGTTATTTTTTAAAAATATTAATATTGAATGTTTCAATTTTTTTTTATGTTTAAATGTTACTATTTTTTTTTGTGTTTAAATGTATTATATTTTGTGTCCAAATGATAATTGTTTTTTGTATTTTAATGTTACTATATATATAGATAAGAGAGAATAAAATTTTTAATGTTACTCAAACTCTTAACCTATATATACATATAGATATATGTGAAAGAAAAAAAATGTTAATATTAGTCAAACTCCTAAAATTTAAGAGTTTTTAATTTTAGTTTTATTTTACTTCTAAAAGGGATGAATAGTATAATAAAATTGACAAAAAATGGACTTCATAACAAATAATTTTTTTTACGAACTTAAGTCTAAACAAGTTCATATAGAAGGACCGGCCTCCAAATTTCCCTATATAATTCTCAATCATAATTTTAACTCAACATCAACCTGAGTATTGTCTAGGTTTAATTCGGACGTATTCGAGTTAAATTTGAGTTAGTTAATTCGGGTTGGCTCAAGTTATTTAATTCAGGTTGATAAAAGAGATGAGTGACGAGGGAGAGAGAGAGAGAAGGATCTGAGAGTGATGGAGGTGCAGGGGTAAAAATTTGAAATGAAGTAAAAGTTTTGACTCTAAAAGGCGAAGATAAATACTAACTCTAGTTAAATGTATTTATATATTTATATATATTCAGATTGAACTTGACAATTCGAGGCTTGTCCGAATTCAATTTGAGTTGTGTTTTTTTTTAACCCCAACTCAAGTATTAAAAATTCTAACTCAAACTTTTTTTTTTTTGAGTTGGACTCAAATTGAATTCGTATTGGCTCGTCCAAGTTGCACCCCTAATATAATAGGTAAATTTTATAATTGGTCCCTTGAACTTTATTTTTTATTTTAATTTGGTCTTTGAACTTTTACTTGTCCCTCAACTATCAATTTTGTTATAATCAAGCCCTTTTGTCTATTTCTACCGTTAAATTAGCGTTCAAATTAATTAAATTGGACTAATTCCCGACTAATCTAACGATAAAAATTAATGAGAAGACCTAATTGAAAAAAAATAATAGTCGATGGATTAAGTTAAGATTAATTAAAATTTAATGAATTAAATTAAAATAAAAAATAAAATTTAACAATCAATTATGATACTTATCTTGATATAATTGAAACGTGATGAGAATTTAATCACGGGGATGAGGGAAGGTGGAAAAAGGTTGGGACTACCATATAAAAAAAAGCCAAAAGAATGTGGACAGCCTTAAGAAAGAGATTACAGCGCAAGACGCGTTATATTCAATTCATACCAGACCTCGACACGTTAACATTATGATCATGGTTAATTAGGTGATCATGATCATGCATGTCATTACTGTGGCCATCATAAACTGCCAATCATTGACTCCCGAAGGATGACAAGTGGTGAAATCGGATAGGCGAGTCTCGGAGTCTCGAAAATGCTTGTAAAAATCATTGGCTTATGCCACATAAGGCTTTGGCCACTACCTTTTTTTTTTTTAATGAGTAAATTACACTTTATCCCCTTAAATTATTATTCTTATTTTATTTTACACTTTTAATTATAAATTTTTTTACATCGTACCTTAAAGTATCAATTTTATTCATATTACTCAAATAGATAAAAACAAGTTTGAAAATCTATCAAATGAGGGGGAAAAACTCCAAAGAACTTTCTGCTAAGTGCTTAGTACCACTTTTTTAACTTCTTTCATGCTGAAAAAAAAAGGAAGACAAAGTTATGAATATGTATTTTACTTACACATATGTAATAGACAGTTACTTATTAACGGTACAATCCACTTACTTATGTATTTACTGTCACAAAATTGACAATCGTTATTTATTAGAATGATATGAAATAAAATTGATATTTTAGGGTGTAATGTGAGAATTTTATAATTAAGGATATAAATTAAAATAAACGTAATAGTTCAAAGAATAAAGCGTAATTTTATCATTTTTTAACCCGAGAATACTGGAAATCAACTACAAGGGTTGAACTCTTAATATTGAGTTTTACGATTCGTTTAGGTCACTTTAGAATTACTAAATTTGACAAAAAAATGAGGCAAAAAATAAGAATTAAATAATTTTATTTATTTAATATTAATTTTATTTATTATACTCACTGTTACATCATTTGGTTCATATTTTGTATCTCTTTTCAAGGTCAATCCAGCACCCATGTTGCCACATACTTTTTTCCATTGAAAGGTGATGTGTTTTGGTTTGGATTAAAAATTGTAACTCAGGAAAGAATTGCTAAGGACCTTTAAGGTGGTTTAATAGTCAAGTCTATTTTCTTATAATCAAGAGATCTTATATTTGATATTTTTCATACATTTTTAAGGGTCAGTCACCTTTATTTTTTGGGGGATATGTTCTTAAACTAACTCGAGTTATGATAGTCGGATTAAAGTTTGAGGAAATAGTTGACACAAACCTGAACACCCTGCAGCAAAAAAAAAAAGATAAGAAATAATTGCTAAGACTTTTATTTAAAAAAATAATAATGTAATTGATCCATAATTTAGCAAACAAAACACAATTCTTCAACAATATATAAAAAATCAGATAAAATAATAAAAAAATAAATTTTAAATAATTTTCACGTTTTTTTTACCAACTATAACGATTGCAATTGATATAAAATGAGTAAAGACCATTGTATTAGAAAAGATGGACAAGGGCTTTAGGTTTGAGTTGAGACCCATCACATTACAATTGCGATCTTACATGATTAAGTTATGCAAAATTACATGACAATTAATATCAAAAGTTCAGTTAAGAGTGAGATTTTTTTTAATATAATTTATTACATTGAGAATTTTAATTAGGTCTGTCAATCGTGTCGAGTGAAGTAGATTTATGTCGGGTCTTAAAGAATTCGTGTCAAAAACGTTTAATCTATATTCGACTCGTTTTTTAATTTGTGTCTAATAAATTATATTATATTAGGTTCGTATCATGTATAATCGATATATAAACGAATTATATCATATATTTTTTTTGATTAATTTTATTTATATTTAATTTATTTATTTATCGTATTATTTCATGTTTGGTTCACTCATTTATAAAAACGTGTGATTTTAAAAAATTCGATCCTTCTAATTTTATTTTGAGATTCTAAGTTTCAGCCCGGCATTACTGCATACTATCATGGCACACTATGACCATGACCATCCACATCATGGCATTAATTGTCATCACCGCCATTTGTCATGGTTCTTGCACTTCAAATCTCAAAGCGAACCCCAATGTCCAAAGAAGGACTATATTTATCAAAGAACAAAAAAAAAACAAAAAAAAAACGTAGTAGACCAAAATAACAATCAATAATATTCTTCTCCCAGTCACGAACATGGGACCTCTCTTGCCTTCATCGCCGCCGCTTTCTCTCTCCATATAAGTTCGTGAGGCGAATTCATCAACAATATAAAGAAAAAGGAAAAGCAAAAGAGAATCGCGAGAAAAACCGTAGTTCTCTTGGTGCAAGCATCGAATCTTGATCTTGAATCACTACAGATGTTAAAAAACCACTAGGGCTAATTACGAGGTTTGATTGATCTTCAGAGACTGATATCGAGATGAAGCGATTTCGTCGGTGCACGAGGATATTCATCCTCTGCTTGCTCGCTGTTTCTGTTTTCGCTCCGATCGTTCTGCTCTCTGGCAGGCTTAAACAACTACATTCCGCCGGTATACAGACATGTAGTAGTACATATATTAATTTGTTATAATACGTTCAGTTCTTCAATTGGTTACATGTTAATTGTTCTTGTTTGTGTACGTGTTTGATTGTTTGTGAATCTTTTAATTTCAGAATCGAAAGAGTATATTGAAGATTTGTCGTCTATTGTAAGACTTCTCCTTCTCTTATTGCTTCTTGAATTTTGATTGGTTTCCGAGAAAACTAAGGAACTAAAAATCTTGCTTAGAGTTTTATTTTTGTGCGAAATTGGAAGCTCGTCTCGAGCAACTCATATGCTTGAATTATGTTTGGATTCCGATTCCTTTAATCTCCTGCATACCTGAGTCCTCACCGTTAGATGATGTATCAGAAATTGAGAGAATGTATATTTTAAATGATTTCAATCCATTATGCTTAGTTGAGGAGTTTACTTTCCTTTTTCAAAATTATGGATTCCAAATCATGGAAAACGTGAAGTCCAAAATGAATTTATTAAGCTTTTATCACTCGTCTAAAAAAATTTCAGCAGCTTAATCGATTTTAATTAATATGTCTCACCCTAAAAGTTAAAGATGTCCTTTTCTTGGTGCAGAAATACAGGACGGATGCCCTGAAACTTAATGCAATAGAACAGGTGATCTCATTTTTTGGTTTTTATTTGGGCATGCCAGAAAGATTTAAGTTTGACTTATTCTGCTAATGTTTGCGAACCTGGTAATGCTTGGTGGTTTAGGAAGAAGGTGAAGCCTTGAAAGAACCACCTCTACTAGTCTATAAAGTTGGTGATTTTAAGTCCACAGTTAGTTTCAGTTCTTCTGATGAGAGGATTATGAAGAATGACGAATCCAGGAATGCCACAAAGAGTGGTAATTTTTTAGATATAATTGGTGGGTGCAGATTGTGTCCTTTTATCTAATTTTCAAGTTAATGCATGTTTTGATCGTGACATTAACCTTATTTTCCTCTCGTTTCAAGCTCAGAAACCAATCATGATACTGAAGAAGATAACCAGCAAAGTCAGCTGGAGAAAGGATTGTCCACATCCCAGGAAAAGGTATGATTGTTCATAAATCTGCCTAAGCTCAACATTCTTTAGAAGATATTGCAATGAACTTTTTTCTTAGGGAAGTATCAGTTATAAATACACATGTAGAAAGGTAGAAAAAGCCAACTCGACACCTGATGGTAAACACAAAGTTTCTGCTCATCTCCCCCGTGCGAAACAGTTCAAGGCTAGACCACACGCCCTTTAGAATCTGGAAGGACACCTTAGGCATATGGTTTGCTGGATAACCTTATGAACAAGGCATCGTGGTGCTTCCATTTACTGTGCTTCGTCCCTGATCTTGCATAATGGGCATTGCAGTGCTCCAATTCACCACGGTTTGTTCCCAAGCCCATGTTTGATTGCAAGACAGATGAAAGGGCTTAACTCTGATCATCCCCCAATTGTATTCTCAAATCTCAACCTAAGTCCAGAAAGCAGGGCTTCTACATACCCCATACTTTTGCCTGTTACCATTGACTATGCCTGACCCGTCTGTGTCGGGCTTGAACCTCAGAGATATATGGCTTGGCAGGTTGGTCATGGACTCATCAATTTGCTATACCCGACCTGCGTAGTACTTTGACCCGTCTTAGAAATGAGAGAGATTTCAAAAAGATTCCATAAATGTTTGAAGGCACAGTTAGCAAAACACCTGAATAATATAACCATGTTTAGTTACAAGTCAGGAAATTTTACCCTTCTTAACTCACGGGATCCCCAGAGTAACTGCATCACCGAATATTTATAATACCCCTGCGGTTTTAGGGAATGTTCGGAGCATTCTGAGGCTTTTTTGTCTGGGCGTTAATTCCCCTTTGTGAATCCCATTCATGTGCTGCCTCCATTTGTTGAAACTACCCACAAGTTCTAATACTACAAGGGAGTTAGCCACCTTTGCAACATACTCGCTTTTGGCGTGTAAGTTATGTGCATCAGGAATCCTGGAATATGTATGCTGGAATAAACGGAATAAAGAATCATCCCATTAGGTCTCCCTTATTCCCTTGTTTACTTATCTTGAGTTAGGAACATGAAATTACTTTTGAGAAATTAGATAGATGTGATACAAATAGCCAGGGCCGGCCCAACTGTATTAAAATTAAAGTCTGGGCTTTAGGCCCTAAATTTTTAGAAGACCCATAATTTTAGGTACATTACTAATCCACAAAAAAATATAAATCCTGTTAAGAATAATAAGGTAGTATGTGTAAATTGTTAATAGTAAGAGGGTGTATGTGTAATTCTTATTACTGTAGGTTAACTATAAATACAAGTGATGTATGAGAGTTAGGTTAAGTTTTTTGACCTCTCTCTTTGTCTCTAATATGATGTTAATCCTCCAAACTTAACATGGTATCAGAGCACAAACGATCCTAAATATATTAACACTGTTGTGGTGTGGTCTCTGTTCATCGTGTGGTCTTTGTTCATACTTGCGTTGTTTGTTGTGGTGGTATTGTAGTGGTCCCTGGTGGTGTGGTGGCAGTGGTGGTCGTCGCTTGTGGTGTGTGCTGTGTCGAGTAGTACTCTTCGTGGTAGTGGTGTAGTTGTGGTGGCTGTGGTGGTCATCGCTTGTGGTGAATGCTGTGTCACAGACGGTGGCAGTGGTGGTTCATCGTTGGTGGGGAGGCGTGGTCTGTGGTGGCTGCATGGTCGGTTTAGTAGAGGCTGTTGCAGAAGAGGGTTTTCTGAAACCCTAACCAACGAAGAAGAAACAGCCCACCCGATCCACTTCAAGTCAACCCAGATTTGACCCAATCCCTAGTTTGGTTCGGTTCGGTTCGGTTCAGACTAATTTCAGCCAGGTTCAGTGCTCCAACAAGCCAAACAGGCCCCGTTCAGTGCTCCAGCAAGCCAAACCGACCTGGTTCAGTGCTCCAGCAAGCCAAACCGGCCCGGTTCAGTGCTCCAGCAACCTTTTTCAGCCCAGTTCAATGGTCCAGAAGGCTCAACCTGTACGGCTTAGTAGTCCAGCTACCTTTTCCAGCCTGGTTCAACCTTCTAGCAGTTTTTTTTCCTCTACTTCAGCATTGTAACTCTTCTTGTTTACTATTTGCTACATTATTATAGAACCCAAGCAAGATAACAGGTCCCTTACTCCATCTTTGTCTTCTCCAACCCTTATCAATGGTCCCATGACCTCTGTCAAACTTAAGGGGACCAATTACACTTTATAGTCCCGATCTGTTCAAGTCTTTTTTCGAGGCAAAGGATTTAAGAAATATCTGATGGGTTCTAAACCCAAGGAAGACACTCTTGGGTATGATCAGTGGGAACAAGAGGATGCTCAAATTATCTCTTTATTGTTGAATAGCATAGAGCCCAGTATTAGCTCTTTTCTGCTCTATCTTGATACTACCAAAGAGATATGAGATCACTTGACCACTATGTATTCTGGTACAGGTAACTTTACCCGTGCGTATGAGGTGTGCAAGGAGTACTTCCGGTTGGAGGAGGGTACTCTGAGCCTTGCGGATTACTACTCTCATATTCGGGGAGTCCGTGAGGAGATGAAGACTTACCATCCGTTTACTACTGACACAACTGTTTGGCAAAAGCAACATGAGGACCTGAATGTTGTTAGATTTTTGGTAGGATTGAAACCTAAATATGAGGCTATTTGTTATTAGATTTTGGGTGGATCTAGTCTTCTACCACTGCTAGAGGTTTTCTCTCGTTTACAGCATGCTACACTGTCTACTCCTTCAATCATTGATCATGGTGTCTCTACTGGTCGTTCAGCTCTTGTGGTTCCTAATAACCATAGTGATGGTCATCGAGGTAGACGTGGTGGTCGTACGGGTGGTCGTGGGGGTCGTAGTGGATCCCATTCCTGTACTCACTGTGGTCGTGGAGGATACACTGTTGATTTCTGTTGAAATTTACATGAAAAACCTTCTAGTTCTGCTAATCAGGCTTCTTATCAGGATGACACCTCTGTTATTGCTTCCATACCTCGGTCAGCTCTACCAAACACNTCTGTCAAACTTAAGGGGACCAATTACACTTTATAGTCCCGATCTGTTCAAGTCTTTCTTCGAGGCAAAGGATTTAAGAAATATCTGATGGGTTCTAAACCCAAGGAAGACACTTCTAGGTATGATCAGTGGGAACAAGAGGATGCTCAAATTATCTCTTTATTGTTGAATAGCATAGAGCCCAGTATTAGCTCTTTTCTGCTCTATGTTGATACTACCAAAGAGATATGGGATCACTTGACCACTATATATTCTGGTACAGGTAACTTTACCCGTGCGTATGAGGTGTGCAAGGAGTACTTCCGGTTGGAGCAGGGTACTCTGAGCCTTGCGGATTACTACTCTCATATTCGGGGAGTCCGTGAGGAGATGAAGACTTACCATCCGTTTACTACTGACACAACTATTTGGCAAAAGCAACATGAGGACCTGAATATTGTTAGATTTTTGGTAGGATTGAAACCTAAATATGAGGCTATTTGTTATCAGATTTTGGATGGATCTAGTCTTCTACCACTGCTAGAGGTTTTCTCTCGTTTACAGCATGCTACACTGTCTACTCCTTCAATCATTGATCATGGTGTCTCTACTGATCGTTCAGCTCTTGTGGTTCCTAATAACCATAGTGATGGTCATCGAGGTAGACATGGTGGTCGTACGGGTGGTCGTGGGGGTTGTAGTGGATCCTGTTCCTGTACTCACTGTGGTCGTGGAGGATACACTGTTGATTTCTGTTGAAATTTACATGAAAAACCTTCTGGTTCTGCTAATCAGGCTTCTTATCAGGATGACACCTCTGTTATTGCTTCCATACCTCGGTCAGCTCTACCAAACACTGGGTTGAGAAGAGTATGCTCAGTTCCTGTCCCAGCAACAGGCTGTTCAATCTCCCTCCACTGTTACTTTTGTCCAGTCAGGTATTGCTTCCACCTGTTTATTGTCCTCCACTCGCAGTCCTTGGATCATAGATTCTAGCGCCTTTGACCACATGACTGGTGCGTTTGACGTTTTCTCTACTTGTCAGTCTGCTACTTCCACACGTAGTGTTACTCTTACTAATGGTACTTGTTCCAAAGTTTCAGGTATGGGGACTACTAACTTGAGTCCTGATATATCCTTATCTTCCGTGTTATTTGTTCCTTAGTTTCCTTTTAGTTTACTTTCCATTAGCAAGATTATCCGTTCTCTCAATTGTTTTGTAACTTTTTATCCCTTTTATTGTGTCTTTCAGGATCTCAAGACGAAGAGGAAGATTGGTACGGGGCATGAAGCAGGTGGCCTATATTACCTTGACTTTGATTCACCTACCTGAGCCCTACAGACCTCGTTGTTTCCTTTTCGATGGCATTGTCGTCTTGGACATCCCTCTCTCTAGAATTTGAAGCGCCAAGTTCCTAGTCTTAGTTACGTGTCGTCTTTGTCTTGTGAAGCTTGTCAACTTAGTAAGCATCATCGTGTGTCATTTTAGTCTAGAGTCAATAATCGTGTGTCTAGTCTATTTGAATTAGTCCATTCTGATGTATGGGGTCCAATAAAGAATATTTCATCTAATAAATATCCTTATTTTGTGATATTTGTGGATGACTATTCTCGTGTGACGTGGTTATTTTTTATGAAACGGTCTAAATTATTCTCTATATTTGAGATTTTTTGTAAAGAAATAAAAACTCAGTTTG